GCAATAATTTCGTATGTAAATTTTCCTAAAATATTATTTTTGTGGTCAGAACCATGTCTCCTGAGCATTTTGTTTTTTTTTTGGATCATGTCAATACATGCCTTGGTTAATTTTGAGAGCGAAATGAACTTGCCACCATCAATTTGCAATTTTTTTTAGTTTTCATTACTTTTTGATGTTATTTTTCATTAAGGCCAGGTGGTTTTGGTGATTATCGTGAACTATATACTACTATGATCTGCCTATCATATTCCACGTTTGGGAAATGCTTGCCAGGAGAGTTAATGGTCGCGAAGCAGTACCAGCTTCATTAAATGACTTCGCTTGGTTCTTAAACAAGAATGGGAAAGCATAACGGAATATGGTGTACGCAGCCTCAATGACAGTATAAACGGATGTATACAGGTAGTTGTAGCAGCCAAGGGAGTAGGGTATTTTTTACATTTTTTTCTGTTTGTATATTTGAGTATTGCAGATAGTTTTGTTATCGTTATGAATGTTTATAAAATCCAGGACTGTATCGTTAGTCTTTAACGTTTTTTTTAAATTTAGTATAGAGTATCCAATGTAGCGTAATGTGACGTTGCGACAATGGTCACCAAAACCATCTCGTCATATTAAAAAATTACATCAAAATGTAATAATTGAAAAAATTGCTAATTGATCGTGATCGGTTCATTTCGCTCTTAAAAATTAACCAAAGCATGTATTGACTTGAATCAAAAAACAAAATGCTCAGGAGTCATGGTTCTGACCATAAAATTATATTTTAGGAAAATTTACACACAAAATTATTGCACAGGGTGTTTTAAAATTAAGGTAAAAAAGCAACCCTAGGGTAACCCTGTATAATAGTCCAAATATTACAGCTTATAAAAAACTTTGTTTACGAATTAAATTGATATAATTATATACAGTTCGCTTAAAAATTCATGAAAGTAACAAAAATATAACATTTTAAATTTGACCAAAATTTTCTCCGTTGCGTTTTTTTGCATCTGAGTGTATAATTTTATTGAGTTAAAATCTACGTATAATATAACGCATTTAATTGGTATCGGGACAAGGCGATGGAAAATTCCATAGCCCTGGAAAACTCCCCTAGACTATATTTCGCAGGAAGGCAAACAACGCGCCACGGACAGTCGGAGTAAGTCACCTACTCCAGATCACTCGCTCCTGTATAACGAACACGCGCATTCCCTACTATCCCACCAACGGAATCAGATCCTGTAAACAGTGTGGAGGTTGTGTTTGTCCTGCACGATTAAGCATAGCGGCTGTGCTTTCGATAAATTAATAAAAATCAAATAGAGCGTGCCACAACATGCTACAATTAACGGTTTCGTTTGTCGCAAAGTGCTGCCGGAAAAGATAGGTTCGGCCTGCAAATCTCTTTATCGTTCGATTCAGGTGTCAAAGGTCACTGATGTTTCAGGTAACTCCTCACGTTCTATATTTTTACCAAAATATAGTAAGCTTAAGTTGATTTACATCTCTTAAAATACACTGAATAAAAAAAACAGACACTTTAAATTTGATGCATTTTAAAGTTTAATAATAATTTTTTTCTAGACAGCCGATTTTGATTATTTTTTAAGCAATATGTAGCTAAATAATTTGAGTTTTCAGTACTTCTTTCTAAATAAATAATGAAAGTTCCCATCCGTCAATTATACGAGAAAAAATAAAATGTTGATATTTTGGTGAAATTTTAAAACACCTTATGGAATATGTTAAGAAAACAAGGAATTTAAAAATAATTTCATCATCTAGGTATATCTTTCGATGTCGATAATTTGGTTTTTTGTTCATCTCAATAGCTGTATTTTTCTTAGAGATATACGCTTTTGAAGAAATCACTTACATTTATTAGTAATTTTTACATTAAAACCATACCTTTCCTTTTGGTCCTAGTCAAGAGACATAGTAAGTTGTGGTCCTGAAGCAGGCCTTCTTGATATAAGATTTGCTTCGTTTAATCTTCTTCTAACATTCCGTTGAGTTTCATGTACGTTCCTTAGGTGTAATTCGTTACAAATTTGAAAAGCGGAAAACGGCGGTTTCTTAGCGATAAACTTAAAATAAATCGATCGTCTCGATTCGAAGTTCTCCTATGAAGGTTCCTGGACGTCTAGCAAATTTAAACTTATCTCGAGGAAGTGACTGCACTGTACTTCGTGCACACCTAAATCTGTTAGAGACATAATTTTGATCTCTAACATCTTCAATTAAAGGAACTATAGCGAATACCACTTCTCGGCTTAAAACCATCCCTACTAGAGTAACTGCCCAACAGCCAACAGACAATAATAATATGATTTATTAATGAGAGTAACATTGCGCAAATCACAAATACTATTTCATAGGTCTGTTGGCTGGGACCAAAAGCAAAGGCATGGTTTTGATGTAAAAATTATGAAAAATATGTTAGTGTCTTCTCCAAGAGCGAATATCTCCAGCAAAAATAAAGCACTTGAGATGAGCCAAAAAACAAACTATTTAGAAAGGATCTAGATGATAAAAGGATTTTTAAGTTCCTTGCTGTCTTAACATATTCCTCAGGGTGTGTCTTTTTAATTTAGAAAAAGATACTAAAAAGCTACAAATTGCTTAAAAGATCATCAAAATCGGTGAATTATAACAAAATATATCAAACTCTAAAATACATAAAGATTTTAAGGTGTCCGTTTTTCGTGCCGCTGAGTGTATGTTTTAACATTTTTTTAATTTTTGACAGAACACTATATAATAATAAAAATGATGTAATCTTCTATGACAACTATTCATGAGCAAAATTTAAATTTGTCATAATAATAAATATTTTTTCTGGATTATGTAGATAAAAGTAAAATCTCTTTAGATATGTTAAGTAAGTCAATCTCTTATAAATTATTATTTTACAACTTTACAACTAATGCTACAATATGTGCGCATATTTGAAGCGAAACTTCTTCTTACTTCCGTCTGTCTGTCAGTCCGTCTGCCCGTCTGAGAACTCCATTTGGGTCCTGTATCCCCGTGCCATGTTTGGTTCCAACGTTTGTTACGTCAAAACTAACTGTCACAGTGACACGTACACGGTAAAGTTGGCCTTGGTGCAGTCTATAGACATACCAAATTTCATTTAAATCGGGCGATTTTTTCGCCATTGGTTTTAATGCACGAACCGTCTTCAAATTATCATGAAAAGATGGGGCTCTTAGAGTCCCATCTACATTCCCAGTTTCAGCCCCCTAGCTCATATAGGGCCTGAGTTACGATGCTGCAAAGACCCATCTCAACTTCCTCATTGGCTTTTTCGATCGTTACCTGCACTTTTTCGATCGTTACCACTTTCCGTGTGCGTGACGTGTGTCGTGACGCCAGCTCGTGTGTCACGGCCTTCTATTATTACTCCCAGCGCACGTAAAGAAGTTTCACTTCAAAAACTACAAGGATCAATTAAGGAAGCAACAATGACATTTTACTCTACATTTCTACATTGTTTATCTACATTTTCTAGATTTGCATATTAAAGTCAAAACCCTACTAGAAGCTGCTAGAAATGTCTAAATGATTATTCTCTCACACTTGAGTAACCTAGGTAACATGGCTCCATAGATATGTGTTTTCATAATGATATGGTGATATTCACGGAAGATTTAGCAGAACCACACATCACAATCATATAAATATATTTTTTATTATTATTCAACAAAAAGTTTTAGAACTTATAATTCTATATATGGTTCAATGGTTTGGAAAGATTTGTTTTAATTACATATAGTAAAATATTGTTAGGTCTCGTTGCACACAATATACACAATATATTGTTGTATACAACAATACAGTACAATAAATCATATTTATTGGTTTGTCAAGAGAAAATATCATTATGAAATTCATTAAAGCGTCAACAAGTAATACTCAATTTATGTTGTTGATAGATAGGTATGGTATTTTTAATGAAAAAGCCTTCATATAAAATATGTGAAAAACAAATCATGCCTTTTACTAAAAAAACAAAATTAAATAAATTAATATCAATTTGGAATATATGAAATCCTATTTCACACAGCTTATAAGACTGTATTGGAGAGATAAAATTTAATATCTACTTGGTAATAAAATATTTTAACCAAGCGGTATGTTTATTTATTCATTGACATTCTAATAAACTTGTCTATAGACAAAGTGACATTCATGTGAAATTTACAGATTTAACAATTATTTAATAAGGTGAAACAAAAAAAGACTAAAATATGTTTATGTATAAAATACCAGTTGTTTTTTAAAAGAGTTATATTAAGACACTTATATTACACGTATTTTTTTATATTGAAAATTGAAAGGACCTAAATCCTATCGACCTACGAGTTACTTTTTGCCTCTTGTATACATGGTGTCCCAGGCTGAGAGGAGGCTGCATTAGAAGTTTTTAGAGAACTACAATATCAAGATCGGAGATTTTTTGCACATCATTGTTTGACAACGACCCCTATTGACTAAAATAATTTTCAATATGGCGGCACTTCCGAAAATACCGGAAGTCGACAACTACAACTTTAAAAATATGATACTCAAAAATGACAATTCAAAAAATATGATATTAAAAAAAGTGGAGGTCTCCAATTTTTTTACATACCTACTTACATTTTCCGTAAAATTTTAAAAATTTTGATATTACACATTCTATTCCCAACATTAACCATTTCTGAGAAAAAAAAATATTTATAATTTGTGAACGAAAAAAACTGCCTGTCAAAAAAAATTTGTGCAGCCTAAATTTCAAAATTAATGATGACCATGATCATATGTGGTTATCTATTTCAAAAATTAAATTGTTCGAATATCATATAATATCTCCTCTATGCTCAGCCTGGGACATCCTGTATAAGTATTCACTACTAGCAGTATTATTTCGGAAAAGCAAATCTCTATCTTAATGTCTAAGGGTTTGCATTGTTAATTTGAACAACGTCGCATATTCACTAATTTAATGATCTCTTGTATTTCAGGGAAAATGGCGTCTTTGGAACATAAGCATATCTATTCTGGTCTTTCTTACACTCTACAACATATTTCTAACAGTAAAGTTAATGTTCTCAACCTCCTGTACCGACGCACCTTTAAAACCAGTACTAAACATTATTCAGAAAGATCTCGATTGCCAAAATAGTAAGTTATTAATTATTTCTCTCTCTACAAAATCTACAGTGTGTTTCATTACTCCTGTTCCAATTGAATACATCAACGTTATACAAGAATATAAGTTCGATATATTCCTAAGTAGAAAACATACATAAAAATGTAAATTTACGTTAATATAGCTAGTACAACTTTCAATTTTACATTACAATTTAATTACAAATGTACAATTTTCAGTTCCGGAAGCAATATATCTTTTATCTACCTGGTCAATTCTAGACTAATTTGGGATTGTGTGCGTGCTCTAAATTCATTGGGTGAGCATAGCAATATTACGTTAGCTTGGGTAATGAGGGTCACATGGACAACGAAAAGGCCGATGAAATGGTCAAACAGGGCACATGAATACTATTTATAACAATTACCATTTCTAGAATGGTGGAAAAAATACCATATAAAATAGTTCATAAGATACAGACCAGATAAGCACGAGGAATATACCAAGAAAAAGAACGGAAACTGGCTTACTGAAACATGATTCCAAGTCATAGGCGCCATATATTGTGGGGGTCAGGGCCGGCGGAAGGGAAATATTGAGACCGGGCGAGAGGGTTAAACAAGATTTGGTAAGTTGGTATATGACGTAAATTAGGATTGATTGACGTATTCAATTGTTTTTGGTAACTTTCTGTTTCACCGGAAATGTCTAAAAGTTTTGATTTTTAAATGACACCCTCGGTATATTTCAAATTAAAATTCAAATTCAAATTCAAATTTCTTTATTAGACCCCATTAAGTTTTACAGAATAATATTAGTATTAATAAATGTATGTATAAAGGAATCGCACCGCGATTAAAAAACCGATACAATGGCACAAAGTGCCAGAGTGGTGCGACCCCAAATACAAAATAGAAATAAATTAAATTATAAAAATAAACAGAATTAAAAAAATTTAAATTATATAAAAAAAGTGAAAATATAATTTTATCAGGGATTTTTATTTCTACTTTATTCGTTAGAAAATGACACTCTGAGTACAATGACATATCATATGTCAACTTTAACTTTTAACGTTAAAAACACTAATTTATAAACGAAGAGCCTTGAAAGATAGATTTCATCGTCTAATATTTTTCGTGTTTTGTCCTGGCCGGTTAAAAGATGGCCAAATCGTATTTTTAATCATATATCTCATTTTTTTCAAATGGAACAAGGATTGCTGATTAATTAGCATATTTGGAAAAAGCATTTTTTATGAATAATATGGTACCACACACTTGGCATTTCGAGTCAAATTGTTGTTATGAATCGCATGTTACAATTTCAAATAAACCATATGCGAAAATGTCAAATGTTCACATATATGATAAGTAATTCTATTCAGTGGGCCATTTTCTATCGCGGGTGCCATTTAAAAATCAAAAGTTGACCAAGTTGAGAAAGTGACCAAAAACAATTGACTACGTCAGTTAATCCTAATTTGTGTCGTAACCTAATATACCAAATCTCGTTTTTTTATCTGAAAAAATAAACAAGTTATAGAGGTGCCACTTTTGAAAACCACCCGGTATGCTATAAGATAGAATTAAGAGTGCTATAAGCGGTATGCTATAAGAATAGAAGTCCAACTTCGACACTGTCGTTCTGGTATAAGTGATCTTTGAAAACATTAGTACCTATTTAATTGCAAGCAGTTGCATTATTTTTCCATAAGAATTTAAGAAAATTTTATTTTCTTTATCACAATCAATTATTTCGTGCAGAATCAGTATAAGTATGATCACATACAGTTTTGTCGGCTTCAAAATGAAGATCAGCCAGTGTTTGCGATGCATTCCTTTTTCTTGTTCTTATGAGAAAATTCTACGATTCTGCTACCATTTTCTTTGTATTACTACATATTCAATCCGAAACAATCAAAACCACCAAAAGATTGATATATTTTCCAAATAAGTACTGTTAATAAATTAATTTAATTAATGAGGCAAACTTATTTTTTTTTTTTTTGATAATAAGGATATCAGGACCCTCTTCAGCTTCTTGCGAATAAATACTTGCCTCGAATAATTTTAGGACATATCAGAGCCATTAATAACAAATAAAGGGTATCGGTAGTAGAAAAAGTGTGATTTTGAGCGGTCAGTCTAAAATTGTCAATTTTGTTAGCTCTTGACCCAAAAAATTATTTACAAAAGGTTGATAACTTTTGAGTTATAAGTAAAATACCACAAACAAATCAGATTTATAGTTTTTTATTCTATTTTGTTTAAGATTCTTCCACGAAAATTAATTCGCAAATTCCAGTTTCGAATAGAATAGAGAACCAAAAAACATATAAAATAAGAGAAATCAAACCTATCCTAAAACTCTGGTGCTAAGGATTTTTTGAGCATAATTTCAATAAACTGTATAATAGGATAGGCCTAGGATATAGTAGTGTTTATAATAATTAGTCAGAATATTTTTACCTATGTGGTGTGGTATTTGCTAATATTTTAACGTGGACATTGATAGTACAGATTAATTATTGATCTGGTTATTCGTTACTATTTGTTTAAGTTACTGTTTTTAAATATTTTAGTTGTTGCCGTGGCGCCCCTCGCATCAGGCGCCCCGGACGGCCGCCCGAGTCGCCCGGCCCTTCCGCCGGCCCTGGTTGGGGTTGGCATTAAAATACGCGCTATTACGTAATTTCACTCTAAGCTATAATTTTAAATACAGAAACACTCGTAAAACTTATCTTTTACCCAGTATGAACAATTCTAATTCGAAACGTTACTATATACTATAATATATGTTGTGTAAAAAATAAGATTTAAAAGTAAATCTTATACATACAAGAAAATAAGAGTCAAATATAACGGGTGTTTCAAAAAACGTGTACCATCTCTCGTGGCGAGATTCCTCACATAAAAATAAGATTTATTTTTCATATCACCATAGGTCCGATTCTGCTTTCTTTCGTAGCTACAGGGTGTCTAGTAGTTCTTTCGTAGCTACAGGGTGTATCTTAATAATCTTTCGATTTATTATATTTTTTTTCCAAGTACTTTTAGTGATTCGAATGAAATGTTGAGTGCAAAAGTTACTACAAGTGCTACATATTTTACTGCTAAAAAAGTTTTGATAAATTCATCAGGAACTTGGGTGCGTGCATATGGGTTGCAACATGTGCACCGCTGACTTTTTTTCTTTTGATAATAAAATTGTGTAGGCCGTTTAATGTCAATTAAGAGTTATCTGTTGATATTTTGTTAAATTCTGCGTTCTTGATGAGATACACGCAATTTTATTAATTAATAAACTAAAAAAGTTTTGATAAATTCATCAGGGACTTGGGTGTGTGCATATGGGTTGCAACATGTGCGCCACTGACTTTTTTTCTTTTGATAATAAATTTGTGTAGGTCGTTTAATGTCAATTAAGAGTTATCTGTTGATATTTTGTCAAATTCTGCGTTCTTGATGAGATAAACGCAATTTTATTAATCACAATAATTAACAAAATTCAAATAAAATTAATAAATTATATATTTTACCTAATTTATTATTAAATATTATTACGAGTTGTTATCATTATTAATGGTACAGCAATTTCAAACAAAAAAATAATGGTATTTAAGATAATTACAAAAAAACTAATTTTAAAAAGTTTTAACATCCTGTAACTCTAAAACAATACATTTCCATACCCATGTTTATTGGAACTTCTTTCATATTTTTTGATGAGCAATCAAAGAGTACTTATTTAAAACTTTTGCAAGTTAATGATATTATTTTTTTTTAAGGTATTTATCTGATCAAGAATCCCAAAATAGACAAAATATCAGAGACAACTTTTAATCGGCATTAAACTTCTTACACTATTTCGGTAACAAGAGAAAAAAATGTCAGTGGCGAACATGCTTTTTTTAGAAAAATATTCCAGTGATAACCCATATTCACGTCCTTGGTGAATATGGGGACACTTTTTTAGCTTTAAAATATGTCGCATTTATAGTAACTTTTACCCTCAGAATTTCATTTGAAACGCTAAAAGTACTTGGAAAAAAAATATAAAAAATCGAAAAAATATTAAGACTTACACCCTGTAGCTACGATTTAATTAATAAATCTTATTTTTATGTGAGGAATCTCCCCACAAAAGATGGCATATGTTTTTTGAAATACCCTGAATAAACACCATTTATTATAATAAAACAGTGCTAACGTAATGTGCCCAAAGTTTTGAAAATTAAATAAATAAATATAAAGACTTACATTATACATATTTTAGAGCCACACATATAAAAAAATTGTCTAGGTAAAATACAAGTAATAAAAATTGAAAATCGTTTTGATAACATGATTGACGTTATCACAACGACAATATTCTTTGAAAATGGCCATTGGAAACTACAAAAAATGATTTAACGCCATCTAACAATAACTAGTAGCAAATCCCTAACCTAAAAATTAATTGCACTCATATCTAGCGAGGAGCGGGCTGGAACAATTTTATTTCAAATTTTCGTGTAAACGGTGGAACCCGCTTTTGCTATTTTACTTACTTATTCTATTGGGTATAATAACGGTATAATAATAGGAGATTTCAAGCTCAATTGGCATCTAAATCTGATTGAGATTGACAGACGAAGTTATGTACAGATTGTATAAAGAACCTAAAAGACAGAACTTTGAATTAAAGAATTAAAAGCCATTGGCAAAAATCTATATGATGGGTTGAATATCCAATTTGATAGACTTTTTGAAGAGGATAGAAGTGGAGAATATAACCTAAAGATCAGAAAAGGACCACAATAAATCAGAAAAGATCGCAGTGGAATAGGTCAATAGTTGCCTCAAAAATTTAATCTAATGATAAAATATGGAATTGTCATTCGTGATAATGAATTAGAACAGTTGATAATAAATTGATTGCAACTATTCCATAAAAATTAGAAGAATAATAAAAAACATATTTACTTAATATACAGGGTGCTACAAATTCGAGGTACGAGCTTTGGTATCTCGGTAACCGTAATAGATACGAACACGGTTAAATTGGGGCAAAGTTGCGCTTTGGGATGTTCACCAAGATGTCATCAAAAAAGTTTAAAAAATTTCAAGGATTGCTGAGTTTTTTGGAAAAAACTGATTTTTTTGAAAATATATTTTATTTTTTCCTGTCGTTACTCTTTAGAAAATCAAAACATTATTTGCACATTCTCATAGCCACTTTATTAGGGCTATCTGATAGTATTTTTAGATTTTCAAATTAGCTCATAATTTTTGAGATACAGAGGCGAACTTAATTTTTTTTAAATACGGAACTGCATTTTTCATTTCAAATTTTGAAAAAACTCGGTCTCGTGAGTACAATGATATGCCATACTTAATATTTTTTTTTGTTTTGACATTTGAACACAATTTATTTAAACTAGTTTCAAGTCTGGCTCTGTTTTTTTTAAGTATTTAATCTATTCATCATTACAATATTGATAAGCTTTCAAACTTAACAATGACGTGGAGTAAAACATTGAATACGGAAAATCAAATGCAATAAAATAATTAATATAAGTATAATATAATATAAACAATCAAATCATTTTCCCGGAAGATGGATTGGAAATGGTAGAACAGTATAATGTCCAGCGTGGTTCCTGGACCTATCGCCAAGGGACTACATTATTTGATGTCATTTGTAAAAGTGAAATCAATTCATCTCAACATTTACAATAAAGAGTACAAAATGCATTCGGAAGTATAAGAGCTATAAAAAGAAAGTTCAGAGAGCTATAAATAAAATTTAGCAAAAAATAAATTTGTGCAATAGGGACGGTTGTAGAAGTTGATTTATTTATAATAACTTCGAGTAATATTATGCATATTATTAGATCGCACACTGAGATTTCAAATTCACAATAAAAAACTTAAAAATAATATCTTTAAATTTCTGACCTGGATATTGATTATTTGAATCTCTTCCAATTGGCTCGATTTTCCTTCTTCAATGTTAATTAGCGCTAATCAATATTGTTGCGATGAATATAATCAGATTAAATAATTTAAGAAACCAGAGTCGGACTTGAATTATTTTAAATAATAACTAAATAGTTTTTTTTTGCTGTGAAGGTATCCAAAACAACAAAAGGTATAAAGTGTGGCATATCATTGTATTCAGGAGACCGAGTTCTTTCAAAATCTGAAATAAAAAATGCAGGTCCATATTTAAAAAAAATAAGTTGGCCTCTGTATCTCACAAATTATCAGCTAATTTAAAAATCTAAAAGTACTATCAGATAGCCCTAATAAAGTGGCTATGCGAATGTGCAATTCGTTTTTTGATTTTCTAAAAAGTAACGACAGGAAAAAATAAAATTGATTTTCAAAAAAATCAGTTTTTTCCAAAAAAAACTCAGCAATCCTTGAAATTTTTAAAACTTTTTTGATAGCATCTTGGTGAACATCCCAATTCGCAACTTTGCCCCAATTTAACCATGTTTGTATCTATTACGGTTACCGAGATACCAATGCTCGTACTTCGAATTTGTAGCACCCTGTATAAGCGTTATTTAAGATAAATTTTAACCTTTTATGGTTTTCCACTATTTCATAAAATATATATTGAATCGCTATAGAAAAGATAGTTACAAATCCAACGAAAAGTTATACCAAAATGAGCCATTCAAAATTTTTATGTATGTTTACTACACTAAAAAGAATAATAAGCATATTATGAATAGGGGTAGCGAATAAAACACCTGGTATCTGGGGTGGATACTGAAGGGGGGTCCATGGGGCCAAGGCACCCCCCTAAAACCTATAAATTGCGATAAATATTAAGCTTTTGGGTTAAAAATAAATAAAAATCATATTCTACATTGCTTTTTATTTGGGTCCCCCTTAAAATAAATTTCTGTATCCGCCCCTGCCTGGTATATGATTCAACTAATACACATCTTTTCCAGAAAATTTACACCGTCAAGACGATATATTAAAAAAGGAAAAAGAAAGGGTACTCAACAAGACTCTCCACCAAAATACCGATGATTATTTAAAGGAATTTCACATAAACCACAAATACTCCCTGAATCTCGACTTAGATCTGGGTAGATCCGATAACAAGTTGATGTACAGATTGTACGATAATATTATTGTTGGAGAAAAATACACACAACTTACTAAAGCCTATAAAACGTGCCTAGCAGCGCAAACCTCATTGGAAAAAATTGCCTCTTTAATCGAGAGTAGTTTATATTGGGGTAAAATATATTTTTAATATTATTTCTATTCATTTATTTGTTTCGATTTAGAATTTATTAGAAGACTATTAGTTTGACTTTAGTGACATCAGTAATAATAGCATATCGTTGATTGAAAGAATAATAAGGAAGATACGCAACCTAATGGTCAAATTCGCGACAAGGTGCCTCTGCACTCATTTTCTCTAATTCGGCTAGCGAAGGCATATCGAAGACGGTGTGGAACTGAAAGTGACAGTGTTGCCATATTAAAATGTGTAATATCTGTAATAGGTTTCGCAAAAATATCTTTGGATGAAAAATATGTCTGTCAACTGAAAGCAGAACTACGGTACAGTATTCTTTATCCGCTGGCCTGTAAACATCTGTAAACGACATCAGCGCGCAGCGACGCAGAGCTAAACTAAATCTGGGACAGATTGACTAGCGGCAACGGTATCGCCAGCTACATCTCGGACAGGTTTTGTGTCACAAAATCGCCCATAAGGTTCCGCGTCTTCTTATTTCTTCCATCAACGATCAGGCTCTAATAATTGTGACCATAAACCACTATAATTAGCTTAGTGTCACAAATATAGTTTCCCTTCATACTCTACACCATTTAATATATGGAGCTATATGCCAGAGTAGTAAAATCAACGAGGTCTCGCATAGTTTTGCTAAACAATCCAGATTTATACAGGGTGGGCCACTGAAAACTTACAATGGCTATAATTTTTAAACCAAAAAAGATATCAAAAAAATAAAAAATACCGTTTCTATACTATCGAGGGGGAATACATATGACGTATTTTTTAAACCACCCCGACCTACCCCTAAGGCGGCACCACTACTCACTTGAAAATCTTAAATGGCAACACCCCACTTGTACCGCCTTTTTGGAAATCCCATGAAAAATGCTAAACGATGATCATAAAGTTTTTAGTGTGAAATTGAAAAACTACCCCTTACATGAAAAATTTGGTGGACATTAATGAGAAAAGTGATTTTTTCAGATAAGTTTGGGACCCAGCTAAATAAGGTTTTTTTCAAACTACCCCGACCCACCCTTAGGTGCCACCCCCTCAAGATAGCGATACCCCACTTGTGACACCTCTTTTTAAAGCGTATAAAAAATGCTGAACGACTGTCATAAAAAACTGTCATAAAAAAGAACGAAAAAAATAGAGCCTAAAAATAAAAAAAATGTCAAAACGTGTCAAAATCAATAGAATGAATTATTTTTGTATCCATGAACCATTGCGAGGAAAAAAAGCTGGTACAAAGAAATTTATTATAATTCTTAATGAAGACCTCATAGACTTTCAGCAAGATGGAGCCCCTTCGCATTATTCTATTGTCACAAGGCGGTGGTTGGATAAACATTATCCAAGGCAATGAATTGGTAGAAGGGGTCTAATCGAGTGGCCGCCAAGATCACCTGATCTCACTCCTTTAGACTTTTCCTTGTGGGGTTACACTAAATCCATAGTCTACAAGACAAAACCAGGTTCGTTGCAAGAATTGCGGCAGAGGAGAACTGAAGCATGTCGAAATATTCCGAGAGAGACTTTCCAAAAAGTGAGAGAAGAATTTGAAAATCGTTTGTATTTTTGTATGGAACAAAACGGCTGTCATTTTGAGTTATTATTAAAATAAATTATCATTTTAAACTTCTTTCAAATTGTCACACCTACATTTCTTGTCACTAACCAGTAATTAAGTTGAAGTCTGTATGACCATCGTTTAGCAATTTCAATTAGCTTTCCAAAGAAGTGTCACAAATGGGGTATCGCTATCTTGAGATTAGAAGTGAGGGGGTGCCACCTAGGGGTGGGTTGGGGTGGTTTGAAAAATACTTCATTTGCGTCATTTAGCTGGGTCCGAATTTGTAAGTTATGCTGAAAAAATCACCTGTTTCATTAATGTCCACCTAATTGTTCGTGTAAGGGTAGTTTTTCAATTTCACCCTAAAAACTTTATGATCATCATTTAGCATTTTTCATGAGCTTTCCAAAAAGACGCCATAAGTGGGGTGTTGCCATTTAAGATTTTCAAGTGAGTAAGGGTGCCTCCTAAGGGGTAGGTCGGGGTGGTTCAAAAAATACGTCATATGTATTCCCCCTCGATATTATAAACGGTATTTTTTATTTTCTTGATAACTTTTTTGGTTTAAAAATTATAGCCATTGTAAGTTTTCAGTGGCCCACCCTGTATAGTGGTGCATCGGAACACGGGACATTAGAAATCCCATGCAAATTTTAAAAAGGTGAAATATCTCCCAGATGATTTCATTAAAAATCTACCTTACAGTTAGTAAAATTTATAATACGGCCCAGAGAAAGCTACAATTAAAATACCGATGTATGTCTACTATTCATTGCTCAATCGCTCTCTTGGCCTTGCTCATATAACAATATTTGTAACTCAAGGAACTCTATTAAACACCTATTCTTATTAATAAAACGTTCAAATAATTCCCTATTCACAGCCAACGAAAGATCAGAGACCTATAAAAATCAAAGGCTAATTAATGGTGTAATATAGCCCTATTACGTTTCCTTTGAACGCATCCTGCAAATATTCTGTTATTATAAAGGAATGTGTACGACAACCATCCATTAGTAACCAGATCTCCCGATCTTCTACAACTTATAAAGCCCTAAGAATAGAGCTGTGACATTTTCCTATTGCCTCACCAAGCAGCCGGGAGCTAATGTTTTATTTTCTTCAGCATCTTCATCAGTTTATTTTCTTCAGCATGAAGAAGAATACTGAAATCATTGTTTTCTCTCTATTTATTTTTTTTATCTTCACGCTTACATTTTCTTAATGCCTGTTTCTGCATCTGTTTCAAATATCTGAATTATTCTTTGAACTGAATTATACGGTATAGTATAGGTCTGTTGCGAATGTGAATGAGAACACAGTGCAGAGATTTCAAAAAAAAATCTATTTGAACATCTTAACTTTTTTTAAGTGTTGAAAATCCTAATTATGAATCTTTCTCTGGACCGTATTATAAATTTTACTAATTTCAAGATAGATTTTTGCAAATAACATTTAAATGCCGATTCCGGAAAAAACGAAGTTCTAGACTAACGTACTTACTAACTTTAACTCAAAATCAGATTTCTCGTTTCAAAAAACTCCGAGACAACAATTTTCATTCAAATATTGCCGTTGCTTCAAAAATTATTTGGAAAAATCGAAATACAAATGAAAGTTCTACACCCTGTATCTCCGAAACCAAGCATTTTAGGACATACATTTATACGAACTTTTTACTTATTTTTATCTGCAGAATATGCTGCCGAAGTTTCCGAAATACAGTTCGGACCACCCTGTATATTAAAATCACAACAATTACTTGTGATTTTAAGTATCATTTTTGATCGATCGTTGATCATTGATATTTTTTTTGTATCAAGATTTTAAAGTAATAATTTTTGTAGTTTAATTGAATTATAAATATTCTTATAGTTAAATTAATCTCCATAATTTTTTTAATGAAAAATTGTTAGTTAGGACAGACATGATTATCCTCTTTAAAATTTCCCTTTACAATAATATCGATCACGTCCTATTTTAAAGTTTAATTTAATCAATATCGGAATTTGTCAGAACTTATTAAATATGCAATATTTCATACATACGAAAAGCTATCAATGTTTCACGGTAATTTGATTTTCATTCTATTAAATGTAAATTAGCCGATGTATTAATTTTACACTCGTTTTATTATAGATAATCAATAACAAATTTTCAATGTCTCATTTCGACCGGAAATCCACACAGGCGACGCTTATCGCTGTGAATCAGGCTTAAAGACTGCGATTCAATATAAACTGTAAATTGGTTCGATCGGATTTTTGTATGTCGATATTGTTATGAGAATTGAGCAACACTATTATCTTTTTATACTAGACAGTTCAATTGGAAATGTGCTATCCTATCAAAAACATAAAATGAAAAAAAAAACGTTGGTGTCCAAACGCAGTCTGCTACAAAAAGTTGTTAAATCACATGTAAGAGCAAGTCAATTATTTTAGTTACTCTCTATAGAAGCACCCATTCAACCAACTTTGTTATAAGTTGTTATTAAATTCATTATCTATCAACATTTCATAGTGACGCCCAGTCAAATTGGAAAAATCGGTGGAAAAAAATCCCACAGTTTTGGAAATTGTTTTAAATGATTTCTCTAGACTTGGGCTGGTATGTCTCAAAAGTCCCCGAAGATAGACGATGAGCTCGAGGAGAGGGGAGGGGTTAAATGTCACTTTATGACTTTTTGGCTTATGTCTCGGAAAATATGACACCTACGAAAAAATAACCTATTTAGAATTGAAATTGAAGCCCAGAAAATTCTCTTCAATAGTTATTTATGATATAAGTGCTAAAAGTGGTATTTTATTTTGTGAAAAGGGAAGCTTCGAACAAATAAAATCACTTTTAGCACACATATCATACACTATTTTTTCTACAAACAAGTTTATGCCCGTATATATCAAGGTATTATTACTTTTTACGTTAATGAATAATTCATAATATGTCATTCTGAAATCAAATTAATTATGAAGTTGCTAGGGTAATTGAAAGATTCCAAACATTCAATCATTTGTTGTCAACTAATTTCAGTGTTAAAAGTAAATCACGTGACTTACTTTTAGCACCAGTGCTAAAAGTAAATGACTTTTACCATCAGTGAGCATTCAGTGACATAATGTCACATTTTAGGCACTGACAGCATGCGTTAAAAATTACATTTTTACTGACGGTTGTAGAAAAAATTGATTAAATGCATTTTTTTCATAAGTCTAACCTTTTTTAGAGTTACAGGGTTGACAAAATTAACACTATTTCTCATATTGTATTTTTGCATTTAAAATCCAATTAATGTCTAAATTTAACCTTTTATATTAATAACAGTAATATTAAGGGGTCCTTATGTTATCTTTTAAGTCTTCATTGTATCGTGACTTTTTGTCTTCCGTTGGAGAGCACTAGTGCACACAGGA